CTGTAACTATACAAGTATACTGAGACGAAAGCTGGACAAGTTTGATTTGTAATAAAATACCATCACCCTTTCAAATACTGATTTTCATGGATTTTACTGGTTAGATTACGAACTGAAATCAGTTAGAGAACCGTTGAAAGGCATGGTGTACTGGACAGCCTTTGGTTCTAGTTTGGGATTCTTCTGCAGTGCGCTGCCAGAGATCATCAGGTTATGAGATGCCATAAGTTTCCTGGAGTCGTAATCAGTGGAGTTCCCTTAGCTGGGTATAGGGACAAATACTCGCCGAAGATACTGATTGGTAGCAACGCTAGATATGTCGTGAATTAGGGGAAGAGAGAATTCATGGAACACTGAATTCCATCTCAATGGCACAACAGTCAACGTTGTTACTGTAATCTAAAGTTCCCGGGCTTGGCCGACGGTGGGATCACAGATGTGTACCGTTGAAGAGTTTCAACTTCCATTTCCTTCAACCTTAAAATATCATACTTTATTGTTATTGTATTTATTATATTTATAATCCTCTCAATTTTTTCGTTTTGTTTATTTTATTTTTCATAAGTGTGGACATAATTTTAAGCTGTATTATAACTGTTAACTTTTTATTTCCCCTCACCATACTATATCAACAGATCATTAGACCCAATTATCCATAACATGCTAAAGTTTCCAAACTGAATCGACAATACCGTTTGAAACAAACTCACTGTTATTAGTATTTATTATTATTATTATAATATCTAATAATTATGTCGTTACTGTGGACAAATTCCTCCGATTAATTTTTGTTTTAATTTTTAATTTTATATACACTTTGAGTAAATCAGATGCAATATTGTGACAAATGCTGAGAATTCCATTTTGTATTATAAGTACTGTTTTTGGAATAAAGTAAATTATTATTATTATTTTTCACGAGTAAGTTTGGAATGCTAGACTCATATCATGTAAATGGCATTTTTCAGGAAAAAAATATCTGTACACAGAACAATGAGCTTTTCTTAGGAAGTGAAAACGTTGCAACTATTAGCATCATTTTCTCAACTTGCCTTCTGTTTATTTGTTGTGTATCACATTTCGAAACTTGGCTGAATGCTCTTCCCTGTAAAACCGAATCTTCCTAAACTTCTTTTTTAGTATCAACTCAATAATCCTTAAACTCACTTAATATTTAACTAATCTTCATTATTGCCTATTAACATCAATGGTACTCCTAATTGTGATAGACTGGATTATGCGTCAGACTGTTCATGGGAGTAAGAATACAGAAATACGTTAGGCCGATAAGAAGACTCTAGAAGATCTGGATTTCACAGACGATTTATGTCTAATGTCACAGAAACTCGAAAACTTACAAGTGAAAACAAAAAAATGACTGGAGAAGCTGGCAGCGAAGACAGGACTCCAGGTGAACATAGAGAAGATGGAGGTAAGAAGATAACCAACGAACCAATGGCAACAACAACCAGCACCATACACCACTAACAGGAGAGATTTAACAAAGGTTACTTCCTTCACTTATCTAGGAAGCATCGTTTCAACCACAGGTAGTCGGAACGGATGAAGATGTCAAAGCCAACCAGCCAGCCAGAATCGGAAAGGCAAGATACGCCTTCATCAATCTGAAACCAGTTTGGAAATCTTCTGCACTCAGCATAAAGAACAAGATTCGGATTTTCAATACAAATATGAAGTCAGTCAGTTCTTCTATATGGGTCAGAAACTTGGCGCTTCATGAAAAGCATTTCCAACAGGTTGCAGACTTTTATCAACATTTGCTTTCGCTGCATATTGAAGATCAAATTGCCAGAAAGAGTCATCAACGAGAAACTCTAGCAACAAACCGATCAAGAGCCGATTGCTCAATAAAATGTAGGAGAAAATGGAGACAGATCGGGCATACGTTGAGGAGGACATCGAATGACATCGAGCGTAATTCAGGCCGTCACTTGAGTGGAATTCAAATGGGAAGCGATGAGTGGGTTGTCCGATGGTGACATGGAGAAGATTGTGTGAAGAGGAGATGAGAGATTATGGGCAATCGTGGACCCAGATGAGGAGGACAGCAGAAAATAGAAGAAAGTGGAGGTGTGTTGCTGAAGCCCTATGTTCCACTCGGAACCCAAGGGAATAATAATAATAATCACTATCACGAGAGATTTTGACAATGCAGACAATATTACAAACTATTTGTTTCAAATTTCTTTTTGCTGTATTCGACAGAGTAAATGTACACAAGCGAAAAATGATTGTATGTAATTGCCATTGTACAAATGAATGAATAAATTCACCAAAAAGAGTCTCTTCATTGAACTGTTTGTTATTATTTTCGTGTCTTGATGGATATAATTCACTTATTTTCATTTGAAATCAAGATATGCAATGCGACCAACTTCCAGGCATGAACCTAAAATTACTGGCATATTAACTCATAAACAGTAAAATAAAGAGAATTTTAGAAACAGAGCATATTGATACAGATGTCTTACAGACAAAAAACATCACAGTTTAAACTTGCACTGATTGTTTACACATATCTGTATATCTAAATACCGATTCACTTCATCACTCTGTTAACTGTTCAATAGAAATGTAGTCACTACCTATGATGTTCATAAGTCTTAAGTGACGCGTTAATGTGATTGATTCGTTGAAAGCATCTAGGACTTAAGTGACAGATTATGCAACTTCAAGCCTTTTGAAAACAAACAATTTCCATGAAGTTTCTGAGGTTAGGTGAAAATTTAGCCTGAAATAAATGAAATCATTAGGAGCACTCTATCACAGTTATAGACCTACGTGTTTCAGGTCATAAAATACTCTACTAGTGAAATAAAATAAAACTTCTTTAAAGAGATGAAAAAAGTGACCTGTAGTCAAAGAACTGCTGCATATATATCTCATATATTAGGCCACTTACATTCATATAATTAAGATACACGTTTAGCATTTTTCCCATGTCAGTGGCTGGAATAGTTGAAGTGTCTCAAAAATAGCACTTCAAATACACACCTGACTAACCTCACTATGAATGAGCTAGCTCAGGTAGTTCAATGACAGAATGCTCACCACCCTACCATTCTGCTTGCTAGCCATGCATCTGGTCCGGATTCGATTCCCAGCCGAAGCATTCCTAAACCTTGCTCAGTTTACCTGTCAATGGTCAGCTCTGGAAAGATGAAAGAGTAGGTATGAGGCTGACGACCGTACCCTGTAAAATAACACCACCGCTAATAATACCTAGAAACTTGAATCTCTGTATTCCGCTTGGAATGAGCTGAACAGGCTATCAGAATTAAAAGATACCTCATCGTTTACCCAGAGTTCTTTTTGACTCATTTTATCCATCATTAGTATACCTCAGACGCGGCCGTTCTCTTTATATTATTTATGTATTTTGTTCATGAATAGTCAGTGGCGAAATTTGTCAAGGAAATCATTTTTTTACCATGTGTGATGAAACTACTTTCCAGAAATGCTTTTTAGTCTATTCATTTCACTTTTATTCTATGTAATTATTTTAAAATCACTAAACCGGAAATGTTGTTCTCTCACTTCTCTTCATTGCACTGGGTTGTTTTTTTTTACAAGATTATTATACTTTATCATCTAGTTCTCTTTTATATTTATACCATATTATTATCTTTCAAACCATTGAAATTCTAGAAATAATCACTCATTTTCATTCATTCAACTACTGTCTCTCGTATACATTTATTTCATTTCTCTACTTTTGTATCTTTTTCTGAATTACGACATGGTACATTTTAGTGAGAAGTTCTTAAATTAAAAAAGTCACTCGGTATCATTTTCTGTTTAAGTTAACTGTGTATCTCTCATTGTTTGGATATATTGAAGCAAAATTTTCGATATCCATTAACATCTTCGGAGTGTGCGAAGTACTGGGAGTCGACATGCTAACTGAGATTGAACATTCTGGTCCAACACAAAAAATCAAAGGGAAATACACAATTCTATAGTTAGTTTGTAAGGATTAGTTTTGTTTTTACAAACTGATCACGGATTGATATCAGCTGGGAGTGCTGGACAGCTGTTTCATCCAAGTTTGGGAATCATCGGCAGTACGCACCCACACCATGAGGCTCGAACCCAGGACCTTCCGGTTACAAAACTAGTGACTTGTTACAGGATGGAGTTTCCTGGAGTTCTAGTGAGAAGTCGTGACTAGTGAGGTCCATTTATTCAAGTGTGAGGATGGATGTCCCACCGACGACATTGGTTGGGGTCGCGCTAAATCACTAATTCGTAGAAGTTAGAATTCATGGGCTGGTCTGGCATTGAATTGGGTTCCAGTGGCTGAATGGCATACGAGCTTGCCTTGTAACCGGAAGGTCCTGGGTTCGAACCATGGCAGTGGGTGCGTACTACTAATGATTCCCAAACTAGTTGGATAAAACAGGTGTCTGGCAATACTCCAGTGCTGGTTTTCAATGGTTCTCTAATTGATATCAATCCGTGATCAACTCGTAAATACACAATTAACTTAGACAAACTGTAACTTATCCCCTCTTGCAAAAGAGGCGACAAGGCACTCCAGGCCCTCAAGTGGGACCAAAATTGGAAACAAACAGTTGTACATTCGACGGTGACATGGAAGAGATCGTGTGAGGATAAGATGAAAGCTTATGGTCACTCATCGGGCCAGCTAGAAGGGATAACAAAGAAGGAAGTGAAATGGATACATGCTACTTAAGGCCTATATTCCATTCGCAGCCCGAAGGAGCAATAAGAATGATGCAACACATATAATTAGCATCTATTCTCTCTGTGTTTTGCAGTGTGAAAACTACAAAATTGTCAGTGACAAGATGATTTTTCAAATTAAAAGTCAGATAATTCAATGAAAATGTTGTATTTAAACTTAACAAAAAAGAAGAAAACAAAACAAAGGACGTTATAAACAATTTCGTCATTAAGAGATTTTATCCCTATGTATATGCATATGTATATATATATATGTATATGTCTATGATGTGCTTTGATTAGAAGTCGTAGACATTACTCACAATACACTTTAACTTTTTATATTGTTAATAAGGTCTTGTTTATTTGGTTCAGTTCTCATACAAATTTCACAACTTTGTCTTTAAAATATTTTCAGTGTACAAAGTGAAATAAGAAACAACAGATTTCAGTGTCTTGTCTGTTCATATACACATATTTATATATATGTTGCCTTTATATTTGGTCAATAATGAGCACTGTAGTTAAACAACTCATGATTTGTCCAATGAATGAATTACAAAATGATATAATGACTGAATATATAGAATATTATTTATTATACAAGAAATATGTAATTAACTGTTTCAACAATTAAAAAAGAAAGGTTAAACGAAATTTGTTTGTTTTTTTCAATTGAACCCTGTAACCTCAATAAAACAAAAAGATCATTGTGCGCTCGATTTAAAAAATAAGATGTTTGTTTTTGTTTTTATATTCTGTTAAATGCATTCTGAAAAGAAGGAGAAAAAAAACAAAACTTTAAATACATACGAAAAATTTGTTAATTTTTGAGTAAATTTCGAAAACAAAACTGAATAAATTTGTTGTTATGTTTGTTTAAATATACAGACATAAGTGTTGTCTTAAGTACAATTTATGCATATTCATAAATTTCACTGAGTGAATGACAGAATGAGAAATGAGATATTTCCTACTAATGCCTTTATAATTATGAATTGAAATTTCCTACTATACTTGTGTATTTTATAAGTGTACTTTTGAAGGATATACAGATGAGTTTATTATGTATATTTATATGTATATGTTTACAAGATATATCGGCCTACTTGTTTTTTTTCTCAATGATAACTTATACTCAAGATTTCCGTTACTTGTTAATGAAAAATTAAAGAAAGAAACTTTGAGGAGAATAATCAAGTACGGAGGTAATGAGGTTGAAAATGATGTCGGAAATCTTTACAGTCTGAATTTTCATTATGAACAAAATCACCAAATGGTGCTGTATAATGATTTGTAAGTGTACTTGAAGATACTGGACTTTGACTGACTGCTGAATATTGATCAAAGGATACATCGCTTACATTTGAAGGAGGTTGTGGTACATTAAGCATAATACCTGGAAATGGTGCAGGTTGATAAGTTGGTTGTATAGAACTGTCGTTAAAAACTTGTGGATTTAAATTCTTTTCACTTGAACCTATAAAATAGGCAGGAAATTGATTAAAATTATTCATTGTCTGTTGAATATCACTTTGATTTGATGGTGGTGTTATACTATGCGGATTAGGTGGACATGGTAAAAGGCAATGAGATGGATGAGATGAATTTGGCATACAATTACCATTCATTATTGGTCCAGAACTTGCTTTACTATTTACACGACTTGAATCATCACTAATATTTAAAAGTAATCTAGGATCACTAGTCATTGATGTATTTTGTGAGAAATTTACAGCTTGATTAAAATGTGATGGATTCACTTGAATATTTGGATAAGGATTATTTAATTCTGATCCAGTTTGTGTTTGATTATATTGATTATCATTTGAAGGATATACAGATTGAACTCCCATGAAAGAATAATTCGGTTTCCCTGTATTTTGACTATTTGATGATTGTCTAGATGATGCGTGTAAACTAGATGACTTTTTTCCATTTGGTATAACATGATATGCTTCAGGAGTGAGTTCAGCTGTTCTCAGTATACATCTTTCATTACTAGAAGATATTAAATGATCTGGTGCACGTTTTCGACGAAATACAAACATATAAGCAATTAATCCAAGAACAGCAAGTAAGATACTGAATGGTACTAAGAAGTAGATGAGAACACGTCGACCTTTCAGAAATGCTGATTCTATCAACAAAAAATTACAAAAACAAAACACTGATTTAACATTTTTGATTTGCGCAAAACTTCATTTAGTTCCCATTAATAAAAAAATGCTAATTACATTGCGCAACTTAAAGCTAATAAATCTAGAAACTTGGCCAAAAGTAACACGGATTTTTAATATGCAGCTGAAATCTGCTTTATTCACCATAAAGAATAAGATTCGGATTTTCAACATCACTGACCGGCCATAAAACATTAGCAACAAGGAACTCTGACATTCAACGAACGAACTAAGAACCTATTGTCCGACAAATATGTAGAAAGAAGTGAAGATGGATCGGACACACTCTGAGAAGACCGTTGGGTGGCATCATGCACAAAGTAGGCCCTAGATTGGATCCCGGGTGGAAAGCGACAAGTGACGTGGAGGACAACGTGTGCAGAGAAGATTACAGCCTACGGAGAATCATGGAGCTAGCTAAATAGGACTGTAGAAAACAGGATACAATGGAGATGTTTTGCTTAAGGTTTATGTTCCACTTGGGAATCAAGGGAATAATAATGATATAATAATAATTATTTTATGATGAAGTGTAGTTGACGCTTCTTCGAAAAGTTACCTGTGAAATAATTTAATTTAACATTTTACCACAGAATCCAAGCATAGATATCCCTACTGCTTGAAAAGTGTATTGCTAAGTAGCCTGTGTCATTTTCTTCACCAGGTTGCATTATTATACGTCCAAATTACTAATTCTTTTGCGTTCATTACTTTTGGCAGAAAGTGCTGTTTAGATATTATTTCACATGACTGAAAGTCAGTTTTTATCAAAGTATGTAGAGTTTAAGCTAAGTAGAGAGAGATTCCCTCAAAACAGTAAGACTAAATTTAGCCTGTTTTACATCATTTGGCTATTTCGAAGTTATCATTGCCATGTGCCTTATCTTTAGTGTTGGTCCCAACTAAAATTCTACCACAGTCAAGTTTACAATATAGTCACTATTTTAGGTAACTCACCAGTGTTGTACACTTTGAGATACTGGTAGGTAAAAGTTAATATATTTGATTCTTTTTACATGAATTAAGTTACATATCTGCCTATAAATCCCTTTCACATAGTCCTTCTATTCCCTGATTTATCAATGTATTTTTTGAAAGCATTACTTGACTCGGATATCTTTATGCACTTAGTGAAGCACTTCACGAAGTTTGCGAGTTCTTTTATATCTGTTCAACAGTCATATTATCTTTCTGGTATACAGTAACAAGACATTCAAGGCATAAGTGTTCACTTTCAAACAGCGTCATTTAAATGAAATATTACGCTTGATCTTTCATCTGTTTCATGGTTAGTTTACTACACCCCCTATCATTGAAATGCTTTTCACTATAAATACATTAAAGTATATACTACAGATTGGTTGATATGAGCATTTGGGTACAACTTGAACCAACCAGTTGGAAGTGATGTAAACACTGGATGGCCTTGTCATCCTTTCAGTGTCAAGGTCATCAGCAATGTACTCTTTTTGATTCAGTTCAAATAACTAAACCAGTTCAAACCACTGAAATTCTGCCTAGCTACTTCAGTGAACTGGTAACACGTCAAATCAGATTGACAATTTGTAATTTCGATTTCCAAAGTGAACTGAGGTGAAATTTAGTCTCGAATTGTGTAAATTGCAAATGGTCAATTAATTTGCAAATTGTGAATTTACTTTTCACTCTATACTAACAGTTTTAACTGACTTCTTGAAGAATATAGTTCTGGTTTAAGCAAAGCCTTTAGATATTTTGTGCATACGAATGTTATTTTTTAACATGAGGTCAACACTAAGGACTAGACACATGACATCAGTAACTCCTTAGTGACCAACCAATATATCCAGTGCAGTCTTACGAAAAGGCAGTCATGAGCTCGAACAGCTATGTGGTATTGCGTCTAACTATAGCTCTGAGGGATGACGGTTCGAATCTCTGACGAGGACGACAGTTTTTTCGGGGTTGCAGACTTGACTTGCCATCAAATGTTAATAAACACGAAATCTAGGTTAACAGCTTCCTACCAATTACCTACAACCATCCAACAATGCGTTTTCATAACGTGGAATCATTCGTGTCAGAAGTACTGTATACTCATAGCCTTCAACAAATACTTTATCATGAAAACATAATACTGAGCACTAGAAAAACAAAAATAATGTCTTGAAACTGTCTACTCAAGTGAACATAGTAGTGACAAGCTTTCAGACTATATAAAACTGAATACATTACAAGGGGATTAAATATTATTTTTCAACCTACCTTGTACTACATTCACATATATTACAATATATTCTAAACTTTTAACATCTGATAAACTCATTGTCATGACAATATATTTTCCTTCATGTCTTTCTTTTTCTAGAGGTTTTTGAAATCGTAATTTAGTAACAAAAAGTTGTTCTTTCTTCTCACTACCAAGATGATTTTGTTTAGCATAATTCTGTTTAGAATGATAATACATCGGGCGTTTTCCATCATTATTTTCAGATGGTAAAATATCAGATGATGATGATGAAGATGATGTGTCCATATCATGAATACTTTTTGATCTATCCGTATAGGCTGTTGTTTTCTCTACAATCGCTGGTGAATCAATCCATGAGCCTAATATCACATAGACTTCATTCTGTTCTGTTATTCTAGCATTAGGCAATGGGATTTTTGTTGCACCCGATTGTTCATACATCATTTCTTCGCCTGGTTCAACTCGTTTCAACCACTAAAGTAAAAAAGAAAAAAAATTTGATAGAAGGATAAAAGTTTAGGTAATAATATGCCTTATAAAGCATATAAAGATTCGTCTACATTTTTAATAAGAATAATTAAGTTTTCGATTTTAAATACCGTATTATTGTGAAGGTTACCCAAGCGAAGATAACTGAATAGTGTTCATTTTTATCAGGACTAAAGATTGTAGTGTGGGTGTACACTTAGCTTAATTATGCATTTGCCATATGACATTGACTACTTATTAAGTATGACTATAACTATATGTAAAGGCAGTATTTATTCCAGTATTAAGACAAACTGACTCAGGTTAATTAGTAACTTAGAATTATCAATAACTATAAATCAAGACACACTGAAGCATAAAAATCCTAAATCTTGCAAGACGCCTGGCTTGGATTTCTTCTCAGCTCACTGTAGGATACCATCTAGACATGATAGGTTAGAGTTTTTCCACCCCTTTGCGTTCGGAGTAGAACATAGGGTTCCAAGCTTGAGCTGTGAAGTTCTAGTAGAGGTGCTATTTTTTTACGGGATGAGACTGCTAGTCTCACGCCCATTCCTCCTCCTTTTCTGGACTTATTACCAGCTAAATGAGGCTTAGGAGTGCGCTAACGGCCGGGAATCGAACTCGAAACATATGTGTGGTTGGTGAGCATACTACCCTTGACCCACAGACTCAACATAAGAGACATTATCGAGTACTGTATGGAAATAGCTGTTATACTAAGATAGAACTGATCATTTTTCAAGTATTGGTTTTGTAGGGAATTTTGTTCGATTGGTTGGAGGATTTCATCATGAGCTGACATCAATTAGAGGGTGTGCACTGATGAGGAACCCAAAACTAGGACGAAACAGCTGTCCAGTACTCCCAGTTGGTTTTCCAATGATTCTCTAACTGATGTCAGCTCATGATGAATTCCTCCAACTGATCGATTTTCCTTGAATAACTTCCCGGATACGAAATATAGAAAGGCTAAATTGTTAACTGGCAAAATATTTATGAAAATAAGTTGAATGACTTGTTTTCTTGTTTACAATAGAAATATCTCCTCTGAACATTACTTTGTATACATTCCATTGTGTATTTCTAAGACAATCTATCCGTAATTAATTCCTTTTATTTATATCTATGAAAAATAATTTGTATATATATAAATGCCTTTAGGCATTTTCATATATGTATGCTAAGTGACATTTACTATAAGTGACACGTGTCTGTAAATAAGTAATCTTAGATAAAAATGAATAAATAAGTGTGCTATTATTATTATTAGTCACCGTTTAATACACGTCGAAGTGTGTTAAACGCATGCACTATACGCTTTCTAAGCCTAAAATCACCCGTTATTATTAGAACAAAACTTTTCGAAATGCATTTTTTAAAAAAGAGGCTTGAAGTCTACATTAACTCAAATTTTATCACTTCAATCTGTCAACGATAGAGGTAATCCCAATTTGGATGGTGGCAATAACCTCTTCGTTTTTTTTTTCAAAAAACAAAAATATATGTAGGCGATTCATGTGATTAGGGAAGACATATAAGTGAAGACTGCAAAAAAAAAGTAGGAATTGAAAATATTTCTAAACAATCAGACAAAATTCTTCTTCAAAAGTACTGATTTTACAAGAGTACAAATGCTTTTAAGCTGAAGAAAAAGCTGAACAATTTTGTAGATATCGTTCCTTTCGCTCTCTCGCTCTCTCTTCCTCTTAATCGATATTATTATTTCGGCTATCCACTCAAATTCTGCATAATCGAGATTTTGTCTAGCGATTATCAGCTAAAGATACTGAAGATTACTTTGATGGAAATATGGAAAGCTAGGTCCAAATATCTGATGCTCACTAAAGACTGATTACAGGATCAAGTTACTTGGAGTTCTAGGGAAAAGTCATGACCAGTTGGGTCCACCAAGTCAAGTGTGAAGACAAATACTCGCTGATCACATTGGCTGGCGGTGGCTTGAATAATCGCCGATTGACAGAAGTTAGAATTCATGGGTTGGTCAAAGGATTTCGTCCCAGAAGCTGTATGGTCAATGGTCTTGCCTCGTAAAACAAAGGTCCTAGATTCGATTCCAAGTAGGATAATGGTTGCGTACAGCTGAAGAGTCTCAAACTAGAGTGAAACAGATGTCTAGTAGTTACTGGCATTCAATGGTTTTCTAAATGATATCAGTTCGTGATCAAACTTGAAAGGTAGATCGGTTATTCATTCCAATGGCTTACATAAACCTGTGTCTTGTTAATAGTGTTATGTAGTATGAGTAACATAAAACGCTATCATCTGATATTGATTATTAAATGTCTAAAGTTAAATTTTTGCTAATATCAAGGACTAATCCATTGGTTGAGTATTTATGGGATGATTACTGCGTAGTTAATATATAATGGTTATTTCCCATCAAAGATTGAACGCTTAAGAGATGCCACAAACTGATGTTCGTTAGAGAACCATTGAAAACCAAAGAGTACTGGGAAACTGTTTTGTACTAATTTGGGACTCTACAGAAGTACGCACCCATGAACACATCGGAGCTTTAGGACCTGATTACTAAATGCATTATATACCTCGTTTAATTGTCAATTTGAAGACAACAGGTTGACATATTTTAAGCTTAGAATAAGCCAAATGTAATCGCCACATAGAAAAACTTCAAGTGATTTTTTGCTACACTTCAGACAATTTTTCAAATGCTTAAAATAATACAGTCGAATGCTAATATATTTGAAAAAATATACTACAACTAGATTATACAACTAGGTAAAAGTATAAGATTATTTGACAATATAACCAAAATAAAAGTTCCTACCTGTATAACTGGTTCATCACATGCACATTTGATTCTTGCTATAACTGTTGCACTATCATCGTTTTTAAAGGTATAATTCTGTACAGGACCAATTATTTTCGGTGTAGCTGATGGTGGTTCTATAAATTGATAAGAAGAAAATACAATTCGTAGAAATAAAACTAAGAGTCTGTATATATAGAGAGATAATAAATAACATTGCAAGGTGAATATTTCAAGAGAAAATTACTCTGAAACTTCTACTACGTTGATGTCTAAGGTACCACTTATAATAAGTCTCATTTTAAGAGGTTGAGAGGACCATTCAAAATGTACACAGACTGACTGGTCTCAGTGTGAATAATTTGTGCAAGTAAGTAGGGTAATTTTAAGTGTCTTTTGAACTCAAAATTAAAACAGCTAAGCAGTAACTTTCCAGTTACCTGCTTTATTCACCAGCCACTCTTTATATTTTGATTGAAATATAATGCATTATTAACACAGTAATTTCCATAAGAAGTCTGCTAAAATCTACAATAGGTGTTCTATTGTAAATTGACAACAAAAGGCTCTTCTTTTTGATAAAGTTGTTTGTAGAATAAATACGATGAAGTCCACAACATTCGTTTAAGGTTGAAATTATTTTTTCTCACCAGTTAAACGTAGGAACACGCAAAGCAGCTAACTTTTTTGTATCTCCTAATAAAACCATCCAAAGTAACTAACGTAGGAAGAAAGATGAGAAGGAATAAATGAATGACTGAGGATAGAACAGCTGAAATTCAGGGGGAAATAAATGCAACGTAATATAAATTAGTTTACATAAATTTACACTATGACGCAGACAACGTCACACGATAATACTACCCCAAAAATTTATCTGATGATGGTGAAATTCTCTTAGCACATGGAATGAGTAATTTTAGCACCACTTTTAATTTCATCTGATTGTAGCATCGGAAATCATTTATGTGATAAATAAAACCAACACTTAATGATTACTTATGATAGAAATTCCTCACTTATTTTTATATTACTTATTAGTAACACGTTAATTCATCGTTGACTCTGTTTTACTGACTTTTTTGCTTGTAGAACTATGTTTCTACTCTTGGCGGTTATTTATATTATTTGACTTCACTTAGGATTTTGAAACACTGACAACAATGGAGTAGGATTTGTTACAATAATCTTGAATAAATATGATGGAAAGGAGGAGAAAAAACTGAAAATCTTGTAATTATGTTTATGTTTACGGGGTGGGGTTGCTAGACTTATGCCCAATCTTCTCTCTTTACCGGTCCTATTCAACAGCTTGGCGAGGTAAAGGAGTGCGTCGGCCGGGAGTCGGACCCCGGACAACATGCTTGGTTGGCAAGCATTCTTCCGCTAAGTCACCGATGCACGTGTTACTTTTATGGATGGTTGTCAGTCACGTATATTTCTGTGTTTACATCTTCAATTTTGTATTCGTTTCTTCAAAGGTCTGTCACTTATGGAGCACAGTCTACATTAGCGGGCTGTTATTAGAATTTTGTGCCTAAGGTTACCATTTTGTGCAAAAGTGAAGCAGGGCGACAAACTGTAAACCGAGATATATGTGTTGCTATTCTTACTGCCAGCCACCATTATATAATAATATCAGTCTTCTAATATATTTAGATACTTAAGGGAACTAACCAGATTAATCCGTAAGTAAAATTCATATGACTAATTCACACTCGCTTTGGTTTGGCATAAAAAACCTCAGTAAAACCAAAGGAAATGTGAATAACAGGCGATGGCTTTTGTTACAAAGAATTTACTTTACTCAGACCAGCCACTTCTAATTTTATCTACCAATTCAACTACGCTTGTGGAGCGAGTTATGTTGACAGTTGTTCCAGGAACTCGATTCTTCATGTACGGGAGTATCTACCAGTGTGGCTAAGTAAAGGTGTAGTAGAAACCATCAACATTTCGATTTCAGACCACCTAGTCCGAAACTGTCACAAAGCCAGCCACCATTAAAGAATCCTTCTATATCATCTGCCAGGTACCGCATACTCCAAACTGCAGAAGCTATCTCGTGAAACAGCTAGTGCATTTTGCGCAAAAGAAGCAAGTCCAGCAACCAATACTGCCCTGGCTGGCTTTCAGTGGAGACTATGAATTCATGAATTTGTATTATTATCTTTCCTAATTTTTCTGATATTCAGTTCATTGTTATGTTGATGCTATTGAACTGTAATCTGTTTATATTATTGATTCGTGGTTATTTAAACATTAATGTTGTTTGTAACACCAATTCATTCACTACTATTATGTATGTGTTACTGTAGAACCTGATGATGAAGTTATCAAAAAGAGTATTCTTTGTTCAGTAACCATTCTTTTGAACAAATTTACTACTCCTTAATTTAGTGACAAAATTTTGACAAGTCAGCTGAACTCCTAAAATGTAAATCCTGAACGACAATATTCGGCGTGTGAATACACTGCATAACTGACTGTTTATTTTGGCATTTTCTGTCAAAGTAAGCAGAGTGTTCTACCAGACCATAACATTAAAGTTAATAATTTCAAAATCCTTACCATAACGTACAGTAACAAAATCAATATTTGTTGCATCACATTTGGTTTCTCATGTTTCTTAGTGCACTGTAATCGCGTTGAATAATATAAACACGTTTAGTCCGTGACCAAAAATATAAGCGTATATTATTTTGACTGGACACAAGTTAGTAACTACTGTCATACGTCTAGTCCTTAGTTTGATGAAGACTGAATTCTCACCGTCACGTTTGCAGTGTGGCCACCAAGCTAGGAGGCTCGCCATCATGGTGTACTCTGAATTGTTGTGATTAGATGGTATGAGGTAATCAGCAGGAAGCTTTGGACCCACGCTTCGTACTTGTTGGTATTCATCAGCATGGCGTATCGGCAGTTTCGAAGGAATTCACATCCCTTCTGAAATTCGAACTCACATCAGACAGCACTGCAGTCAGAGGTATTACTACTGGGCTATTCAACCGCCCTGTTTACCTGATAATTTGACTGGATACCAGGTATTAACTCAGTGGTAACGTCTCTAACTGCAGTAATAAGTGACCAGAGTTCAAATCTCACAACGAACATCAGTTCCTATGAAACTACATATATGCCTTGCTGAAGGGTACCAGCAAGCACGAAACATAAATCTAAGGCTTTCTACCGGTCGTCTCCAATCATCTAATATCAAGCGTATAGTAACTCTGTTTTCACGAGTTTGACCACGGATTGATATCAGTTAGAGAACCATTGAAAACCAGTAGGAAGTACTGAACAGCTGTTTCATCCTAGTTTGGGAATCATCAGCGGTACGCACCCACTGGCTGAATACTATACAAGCTTGCCTTGTAACCAGAATTTCCTGGATTCTAACCCCAGTGGGCGCATACCGTATTAAAAGAGTCCCAAACTAGGCTGACAAAACAGCTGTCCAGTAATCCCTACTGGTTGTTTTCACTAGTTCTCTAACTGATATCAATCCATGGTCAACTCGTAAAACAAAAACAAATCTAATCCTTACAAACCAATTCTTGAAAACTCTGTTTTCATTCCATCCCACTGATACTAAATTTAAATACTTCTCTGTTTCTTTGTGAGTCTTTCATTAAATTATGAAGTCATATGCAATTCTGTTTCCTCCTTATAAAAATTTATCTCAAATCACCTTGTAATAATTTGTTCTAGTATATTTAAACGTTGTATATGAGAAATATAGAATGCATTTTTCTTTCAGCTCATAAGTGTATTTATATACATATAAAATAATATTATTACAACATACTTGATTAGTTTAGATTATAGGGCAAAAATATATATATTTAATGGACTGGAGACATAGATGTTATGATGGGTTGAAGTGGAGTAGAAATACGAAAACTAACTGTTTTTAGTATAAACTTTAGAAATAGCTTTCTTAGCTTTCCTTACACACATTAACAATATCCTACTGACAAGTAGTAATCGTTCTATCAATGCCATCATCTTAGTGAAAATGCATCTAAAGTGTTATTATTATTGTTATTATTAAGATTATTTTGTACTGAGAAGGAAAATAAGAAATGCAGACAGAATTCACTTGAACTGATAGACAGATAACTCCATCTCCTTTTCTTTTTTTACTATTTTAATAGATAATTGTTATGTTATGTTGATGAATATACGAGTTGGGTGGATAAAAAAAAACGGTGAATAACGTGCATGCACAAGTGACCCAGACATAAAGAAGGAAATAGAAAAGAGGGGGCTAAAATAGATGAATTGAGAAAGGAAATATATTTTCTTCTACTTGTCCATCATTTTCTTCTTCTTTTTCTTTTACTAGACATTACAAATCAGTTAATAAAAAGAAATTGATAAATTTTTCTTTTATCTATTTGATTTTACTTCACTTGGTTGGTTTAAACAACAGACGATGATTTCACTTTTTACATTATTATTATTAGTAGTAGTATTAACAGTAGTAGTATCATTATGTTCATTGATGTTCGTTCATTGATTTACCGTGAGTTTGAACGTTATTTATTAATTTTTGCTATGGACACGTTAGGAACTAAGAGACTCTCAAGTGAATAATCTAACATTCAATAAACTTTTCTTGGTTATTTTCATGTATCGGTTTTGTCAGGATTTTTGTTTGTTTGATTGTTTGGAGGATTTCATCATGAGCTGACATCAATTAGAGAACCATTGGAAAATCTGCTGGGAGTACTGCCAGACAGCTGTTTCGTCCCACTAGTTTGGGACCCTTTAGCAGTACGCACCCACCTGGGTTCTAGCCCAGGACCTTCTGGTTACAAGCAAGGAAGCTCGTAGACCATTAAGCCGATCCAACGGACAGCCCATAAATTCTAACTTTTCCGAATTCACGACATAGCGCGACCACTTCGCAATGTCTTCTTCGATGAGTTACTGCCTCAATGATTTACTCGTAAATTTACTGAATGAGGCAGTTTTACGTCTTTGATGGAATATTCATCTCTCCAAACTTTTGGGTCCAAGTAAATTACCAGAATTTGGGTGGTTTGAAGTTTTGGCAAAAGTTGAGTCAAGCCAGTTATACGGCTGATGAGCTCGTGTCCGAACCGGCTATACCACCTTCTGGTGCTTACACTACTTCGATCTGACTAGTAATCACTACTACTCATGTCAATCAATCTGTAGTATACAGAGTCATACACCTTTTCGATGGAACATCTTTTCTGATAGTTTCCACAGAATAGAATAATATTGCGAACATTGTCTCAAATTTTTTATTCTTAGACAGTGAGCAACACTAAGTGAGTCACAGCTAAGTCTGTTGACAACTCTTAACCGGAATAATTCCTGTGATTTGAAAATGTACTTTTTAGATTTTATCTTCTAATTTAGATAAGGGGTGAAGGCAAAAACCATGGATAAATTGGAAAAATATTCTGAATGGTTGAGTTAGCTTTGCTCAAGGGTAATTTTTCCTAAAATAACTTTGTTTTTACTGTAAAATAAGCCCATGTTAATAAGTAATACTGTGGTGAGATCTGTCTACTAGCCAAATTGGTTGACAGTAATTGAGGTCAAGGTCAAGATGGACAGGTGGATACAGTTAACATATAGATGAACTGACACAGCCACAAGAGATGCAAGGTTAACTTTGTGTGAGAAACAACCAATCAACAGACTGTATTTTCTACTAACATTAACCTACAATAATGTACATAAAAATCTATAAATACGTGTTGATTTTCCGTAATAAACGTTCTGTTGCCTGGCCCTTGTCTTCTGTTGTTACCATACAAAGTTCATCATCCAATATAACTGTAACGACGTACACAGAAAACTTCTCGGCACTAGATTGAAGATGACTAAGGTATGCAACTTAGATTCAGTTTATTAAAAAGTCCACTTAAAAATCCTACTTATTGTATTGCATAATTCATCTATCTCTCTCTCTCAAAAAAAATTATAACTTACCACTGACTAATAGCCTGTAAGTATAGTTCAGACTTCCAACTGCATTGGAAACCTGACATGTATACTGTCCAGTATGTTCACGACCAACGCGATCAATTGTTAATATTGGTCCACGAACACCTTGACCAGTTGTTATCCAATCAGCTACTGCATTACCCATAAACCATCGATATTTTATTGGTTCAGTACCTTCAGCTTCACAATTAAATGTTACAGAAGAGCCTATAGCTCTTTCCAAACTAATTGATGGGTTAGTTTTCAAGGCTGTATCAACAAAACATGGAGCTGAAAAGAAAACATAAGGTGTAATTAAAAACCTTTTTTGGACTACAATGATAAATTGGGAGTATTGAAAATTATGTCGATTCCAAAAGACTTAGGAAACCACTGAAAACTCGAGAGCACTATATAGCCATTTCGTCCTTTCTCGTGAATCTTCAGCATGAGTGCTCACTGATGATGCAAATAAGGAGCGAGATCACGAGTTTCAAGTGACAGCATTTAGAAGTAAGTTTGTATACATAAGGATATAAAATAAACTACTTAAAAAAGGTAAATAATTTACTGTTTTGAAGCAACACCTTGAAAGTCCCCTATTCAAATTGGGTTTTTTCTCCACAGTTGTGCAACTTTACACAGTTGTCAATCAAGTTTCTTGGAAAAATTATAAAGTTGAAAACATAAATGATGTTTTACTTAGTAAAAACCACAATTTTTTCATTTAGAAAAAAATTGTGAGACGTTACATTGGCATCTTAAACATAATGCCAATTAGTGTGATAAGTACATGATTGACAATCATAATGAGTAGAACAAAAACTCTTAGGAGATATGTAACAGTGATCAACTTGTTCCATTTGGAAATAAAGCGGTTGACTTATGTCACTAAAACCTTGTTTTCCTCTGTTAAGCTAAAGTTAGTTGAGAAGAATTAAGACTTCTTGATTTATTTTGTATAATGGATAATTCCTCTGGTTTAAAAATATACTATGTATGCTCAACTAGTATTTTTGTAAACTCTTCAAAAGAAGAAAGGCCTTTCAGGGAATAACAGTAACAAGTAAACTGAAGGAATTTTGAATTAAAAAACTTCCAGCTAACTCCAAGAAAAAACTGAATAGCCCCTAGGAAATCTTAGCCAAATAATCACTTCAAATTACTCAAATTTTTCCTGTAAAAGTTCATAAACCTTAAAGGAAATCCTCATTGATGGTTTACAGGGATTTGGATGCAAGGGAGTAATGAACAGCTGTTTCATCCACCTTTGAGACTCTTCAATAGTATGCACCCATGACCCCACCAGGGATCCAATCCACGAACTTCAGATTGAGAGGTGAGCCCATTGGCCATGCAGTTACTGATGCGGAATCCAATAACTTGTGAATTCCAGCTGCCAATTTGTTATATAGTGCAATCAACAACGCAAATTATTTCATGTCAAGGATATTTCTCTACTGTTAATAAACACAACTTGCCTAAAGCATACAAATAATTCATAAATCAAGTCAATAAATAATATTTGTGTTTTCCAAAAGCCTCTTGATATCTACTTACCTTTAGCCTTTGTATTTTCTACATTTGGTACAGCACAAAGAAGGTTGATATTAGGATCTGTAAATATAAGAAAATATGATGGAAGTTATATTATGGCAAAATAGCGTGATTACATTGTTAGTAATTTATTATTATTATAAAATATATGAAAAGATACTGATCTGCATCGGTGGTTTAACCGTAGAATGTTCTTTAAACACGCATGTGATCCGGGATTCGATTCCTAGTCGATGCACTTCTAAACCTCGTCTAACCGAAATTCAAACCGGGAATGAGGGAAGCAAATCCATCCCGTAAAAGATAAAAATTACCATTGCTACTGAAACTTCACAGTTCGAACTTGAAGCGTTATGTTCTACTCAGAAGACAAGGGACTGGACAATTATAAAGAATCCACTAGCTGGGCTTTGCATGCTCTTTCTCAACCAAATCGGATGTGATTCTAGGGGTACATCAGATGAATAATTATATAAACTGATTGCTTCTTGGTAGATAGATTATTTCAGTCTTATACTGAACAAAATGACATGTTAAACTCCATGGAATTACAGTACATTACTATTACCAAGTACGTGATGATTGTTAAGAATCATAGTGCTAAAGAATGTAAACTGTTTGACAGTCTTACTTATTCATCACTGATATTAAATGTATTGCACAAAGAGCTCATTAACATTACTGTCATATAACATCACTGTTACTGCTGTAACTATCTTGTTGTGAAAATTATTTATTTACCCTAATATTATTGGCTAATTTTAATGCTTGTTGTCTTATATTATTCCTCGCCAGTTCTTGCAGAGTCCTAAGTCGCCCTTCTTTGGTAGTTTCACAAGGTAACCTTTCCTCCAGTCAGTAGGCACCTTTCCCTCCTTCCAGACCTTTTGCAATAATGGAGTCAGCATATCTGCTGTCGTCTCTGGGTCCGCTTTCAGTGCTTCAGGGGGTATTCCATCTGGTCCAGCTGCTTTTCCAGCTTTCAGAAGCTTGATTGCATTCAAGACTTCAGCTTTCGTTGGAGGATTGGTGTCAACTTGCAGTTGTGTACGTGCTGTTGTTGGTATTTCTGGACGGGTTGTAGGTGGTGGTCGGTTCAAGAGTCCTTTGAAGTGGTCCGCCCATTGTTTAATCTGTCTTTCTTCCTTGGTAATTGGGTTCCTTTGGCTGTCTTTTATAGGTCTCACGTGTTGATCTCTTCCCGGATAGAGACTTGGTTATCTGATATAATGTCCTCAGGTCCCTTTTGCCTGTTGTCTTACTTTCCTCTAATTATTTGATGTGCCTGATAAAATTGCTAAAGTCATTTAAGTATGTTTGGGAAATAAGGACTATTGTATTGGTTTCTGATGTCTGTTGACTCACATTATTAAATTATGCTTATATCTTGGCTTTCATTTCACACAAGCTTTTGTTTGTATCATTTAAGAATTTGTCATTCAACACAGAAATGATTTCATTATTTATTAGACAGAAAGCTTACATTAGTTGAGTAGAACAGAGCACTTTTTTCTACCATTTCGTGCCCTTATATTCGCATAGTTGAGCAGTTATCGAATGGCGAAGGAAATTGGAGACAATTTGGACACACTTTGAGGAGACCCTCATGTGACATCATGTGCCTGGCCTTTGTGTGGAACCTTAATGGAGAACGACGAATTAGACGTGTGTTTGACAGTGACATGGTGGAGATCGTGTGCGGAGGAGGTCAATCGAAGAATAGGATGAAGCGGAGATGTACTGTTGAAGCCCTATGTTCCACATGGAACTCAAGGGAATAATAGTAACAATAAGTAGCCATCGGAGTTCTTAGATGAGTTATTGTCTGCTAGTGCATAACCCCACCGGAGGTACAACCCAGGACCTTCAGACTACCAGGTGAGTTTGTTAACCATTCATCCACTGGTACGGAGTCAATGGCCCATGAATTCTAACTTCTATGTCAATAGTTAGTGTTTACCAATATGACGAATAGTTTAGCTGAAATAAATGTCATGATATAGCTTAAAACTTCTCGTAAATTATCTGACAACTATTGTGTAAAGCAGTTTTTTGAAAGGCGAAAATAATTCATTAATATTTCCTAATAAAATCTTTGAATTTTCGAGTCTACTTCTCTGTTAATACCTTCAATAATTAAAATGCAGTACACTCTTCACAAGATCTGACTGTCCTGGATTCAATCTTAAATCAATCTGTGCTTGTATAATTGACTAGCTTTCACTGTCTTTCTAAATTAACATCTTCAGTAATAAATTTTGCTCTGAAGATGTTGTCCAGAAAAACAATAAAAGCCCGGTTCAGGGAACACAACCATATCATACTAAGAATTCCTAAGCTTCAGATAAGATTGTTATGCAAGTGCATCCAATTGACGAGTCCCAAATACGTTTCTTGGCTCCCATTACCAGCCACTATCAAAACATGTTTTTTTTTAAACATATGACCACAGGATTTTGTTACTGAAGAAACTTGAGATGAATTATCCAGAAAAACTGTCTAAATCTTATTGAACCAACAAGACATCAGCATATATGTTAGAAATGAATTTATCTTTCTCACTATTGATTCACAACTTTAAGTTTTATATGTTGTTGTTTTTCCCAAAGATTGATGAATCTAAAATCATATGACAGTTTCAAAGTTTATGTGAGTGTAAATATAGCAGTGTAGTGTAGTGTAGGGGTATACCATCCTACTCTAAAATAATCATTTAACCATCCAAAAAAAAGAAGCATCACTGAGACTCTCACCTCTATTTTTCACAAACACACACACACACAAATAAAAGGAATATGAAGTACACATGCATTGCCAACAGTTTTTGATAATCTGATTTGACTGTATGACCAAGAGATGTTGTTTTCAATATTAATATCAGTAAAAAGTTTGAGCATTGTGGATTAGATCAAATACTTTGATGTTTATGCATCATATCTGCATTGATCACAGAAATAGTATGATTGTTTTATTTACTCCTTCTGTATATGTATATTTTTTTTATTTTATTTGACCTTTGTTAGCAGCTTAATGTTGTTTAGTCTTTCTAAATTAAATTATCTTACTTCCTCTTTAGTCACACTGTTTAATTTCTATTGTGTTTACATGTCAATTCTACTTCAACAACTAAATATATAACTAACATTCATTCATTAAGACAGATAATAATTCACCCTGGTTTGCGTGTTTTTCCTGATCTCTCTTAGGTTTAATACGAGGTCAGCTTGTCACAAAAAATGTGGATTAGAAAATGATGGTAATTGTCAAGTGGGGCATATTTTCATTATTCAAATATACCCTGATGAAGTATAAGGAGTCATTGTGAAAAACAGAGAGAAACGTGTGGGCTTCTTTATTTTATACTGTTATACTTTAGATTACCTGAGATCAATTTTTCACACAGTGTAGTTAGTATTTACTGATCAGTCCTTTGGATATTTATATTTTCTATAACATTTGTTTTTTTTCAACATTTAATTGTTTATTGATATCTTCAGCGGGGTGCACACTTAACCTCACCGGGGATACAGCCCAGGACCTTCATTTTACGTCGTGAGCTTGCTGATCATTCAGCCACTGGGGTGGGATCCGTCTGATCATGAATTCTAATCCCCGTCAATTTGCAATTTTTAACGTCACTGCCAAGTCAGTGTCATCGGGGAGTATTTGCTCTCATACCCGTAAATTCTTAACAGATGGAGTCCACCATGAAAAAACAGCTATCCAGCGCTCCATGGTATTCAGTGGTTCTCTTACTCATGGCAATATGGGACCAAACTTTAAACCAATCAAATCCCTACACAAGCTAACAACTGAAAATTATTGATACCTGTCTGATTCAGTATTTCCTACGATTTTCTTCTCATCAGATTGAGCAGCAAAGTTCATTTATAACAGCGTGTATAACACAGATCTGTTAGTTATTTTTTGAAAGAAGTCGTCTCCACTCTAAGTCCTAAAGCAGTTTTGTTTGAAAGAAGATTGTGAAAAGTGCCAAACACAATTGCATTGGTTTCGAAGTAGGTTCTGTGAGGTACTTACAAATTCACAGAAGTGCTGTCACTGTCTGATATTGATGGTGCTATGTTACGAAATGACAACCGCAAGAAGCTTTAAACCATCTTTTTCTAGTAGACTGGCTTACAACTTGTGTCATCACTCCCTGGCTTTATTGTCCCAGTTTCTTACCTTCAACGTATTATGAATGTGCACCGCTGGAGAGTTTATAACTAGGAATAAATAATTATTCAGTGCTCCTTATCTCTGAGTGATTCTACTAACTGATATCAGCTGGTGACACAACCTATAGCCTTAACAAATAGACAACAATTATCCTCCCGTAATAAGCTTAATCACGAGTTCCAGTGTCCTAGAGGTTTGATAGTTAAAATGTTTTGGCTCGTTTGAAGATGAATACCGTTGATTAACCTAGAAATTGGTGTCGGTGGTTCAAGGACAGAATGCTCACCAACCATGCATGTGACAGAAGTTCGACTGCCGAACAACGGACCCCTCACTTAGTTTACCAGCCTGTAGTAAGCTTGGAAAAGACAGGAGGCTGAGCATTAAGCTAGCAACCTAACGTCATATAAACAACACAAGTGCTAATCAAACTTCAAAACTTAAAGCTTGAAGTCTTGTGTTCTACTTGGAACGCAAATGAGTGAAGAAGAGCTTAGAACAAAAAAATGAAACGCTATCATATTCCTATGTCTAGGGCTTACTTCATTGTTGATGATAATTTTAATTGTCTTAGAAATGAAAAAGTTTACATCACTGAGTATGACTTTCACCTTTTTGACACAGAAGCATCCTTAGTCCTTAAAATAACACTAAACATATTGTACAGACTCAGTATTTCAGTATTACATCACTCGTGATTTTTATCCAAAGACATAGTTAACCTTCTGAGCTAAATAAATGGGAAGTAACCGACAACTAATTGGGTTTTCAGTTGCATCTGTCTCTCTGTCTGTTTTCGACATAGAACTTTGCACATATGTGCGTCAGTTCAAGTCGCCACACTCCATGTAGCACACAAAGCAAGAGAAGAGAAATGC